ACCTGAAATTTTTAATGCTATAGTTTGAAAGTCTAAATCTACTGTTATGGCTTGAAAATAGTACTATAATATATGTCATATATGAAATTTACACTAACTATAACTATGAAACACAATTATCAAAACTATAGTTATAAAGTCTTATTATTATCTATTATGTTTGCTCTTTTTGAAATTTTGTCTTTCCTAAATGCAGCCGGGAGGTTGACTCTCATTCAGTCTAACACTCAGTAGCTTACTAACCATGTTTGCTTTCAATATCATTCAGGTCCAGAAATCATTGCAGATATTTATCTTTTTTCTCCTTTTTTTTGACCATTTTTTTCATTTAATTATTTGTTTTATTTTTAATATCTCATAAAGTCTTTATATTCAAGTACTCAACTTTTCACCTTTCACTATAATATATCTTCTTTATTAGATATAGTGTGCATATATTCATAACTCTCACAATTTTCAACTTTTCATATTCATAACCTTTAAATATTAAATATGAAACCTTATGGTATTCCTCCATTATTTTCTATATAAATTCATATTTTTTGTTTCATGATATTCTATCTGAAGTTATCCTTCATTTTCACCATTGTATTATATTCATGCTTTTATTTGACTTGAAAAAGAAGAAGGAGGCTCTTGAATAGTAATAGGCTTGTGAAGTGGATATTAACTTCCCTTCTATTTTTTAATGAGATGTGTATTGTACTATTTCTTTTTTTCTTTCTTTATTTTTTCTCTCTTTTTGTTCTTATTTATCTATGATATGATGCCTCTTGAATTTAATTTTTACACGAAAAAAGCTTTTGAATAGTGAGATTTGTGAAGTACTGAATATCAACAAGAGTGATGTCTCTCTACCTTTGTTTGACTTGAAAAAGAAGAAGAAAGCTTTGAATATTGATAGACTTGTGAAGTAGATATGACAAGATCTTAGACAATTATGCGTTGATTTTGTTTTTCCTTCTACTTTTAATTTTAATGACTAAAGTCATAATGATATGTGTATTGTATTATTTTTTTCTTTCTTTCATTCTTTCTTTCTTGTGTATTTTATGATGCCTCCTAAGTATATTTGTATACGAACTTAAAATTTAATTCGAAGCACGAGTAATTGAATTTTAGAAGTATGAGAGTTATTTGTTGTATAATTTCTATTTATATAATTTGGTCTCTTATTTTTCCTCATAAAAATGTCAATAAAAAAGTAATAAAATAAAAGATATAATAATATTATACCAAACAACACGAAATAACCTTTTAATATATATATATATATATATATATATATATATATATATATATATATATATATATAAAATTAAATTACAATTACTAATATAAATATATGAACACCGTTTAAATAAGAACAAAAGGCTGAAAGGCTTATGCTACTCTTATTTTCTTCGAAATAAATATTAACCTTTGTTCTTCAATTGACAAATTTTCCAACATTTTGTTGTAATAAATCTATAAAAAGGTATATGTTCAATTTTTTACTGGGCAAAAAAAAAAAAAAAAAACCACATGTACATATATAACAAAATTAGCTACATTAAATTGAGTTTTACTTATATAATTTTTGAGCGTATATCATATAGTTAATGTGATACGGTCGTTAATGAGTGTTGCTAGATGTTACCCTTGATTAGTATTTGATATAATCAATTAACAGTCAGCTTAGTAATGAACCTATGGAAACACATGCACATTAACGAGGGAGACGGACAGATCAAGGTGCATATATAAATTTGCACTTGATCACATACCGAAAGGGCGAGCTGATCAAGATTTGTACAGCAAGTTTGTGGCATTTGAAAAGCAGTATGGTGATAGGGAAGGTATTGAGGATGCTATAGTTGGAAAAAGTAGGTTTCAGTATGAGGATCAAGTAAGGAAGAATCCTCGTGGTTTATGAAAGAGCCATTGCTAATGTTCCTCCTGCTGAAGAGAAGCGGTACATTTACTTATGGATTAATTATGCATATTATATGAAGAGCTTGATGCACAAGACATGGAAAGGACCAGATATGTCTACAGGGAGTGATTCCCCATCACAAGTTTTCATTTGCAAACATTTGGTTGTTGGCTGCTCAGTTTGAGATTCGGCACAAGGAGATTGGAAGGGCTCCTAAAGACAAGATATTTAACAAGTACATTGAAATAGAGCTGCTGCATTTGGGGAACATAGACCGTTGCAGAAAGCTTTATGAGAAGTAGTTAGAATGGTCACCTGAAAATTGCTATGCTTGGAGCAAATTCGCTGAGTTAGAGAGGTCCTTGTATGAAACAGAGAGAGCCAGAGCTGTTTTTGAGCTTGCAATTGACCAACCTGCACTGGATATTCTATGGAAGGCTTACATCGACTTTGACATCTCTGAGGAGTACCTGGACTATCTTTTCCCGGAGGCGAACAATCTTAACATTTTGGCTTCTGCTTATAAATGGAAGAAGCAGCGGATTGCAACCAAGGATTAGCCAGATTCTGTTTCAACTGTTTTTCTGTTAGCTCCTACAACTCTACTTTCTTATAATAGCTAATACTTTAGCTATTTTAAATTGTGGACCTTAAGCTTAATAGGGAAGGCAGATTACTTTCTTATAGACTGCTATATTCCTAGAAGAAAGTTATGAGTCCTGTTTAATTATGGCCATATGTATTGAAATTATTTTCCTTTATCGCTAAGACGCTAAATATAGAGGTAAGTTAGGATTTTTAATTTATGAGTTTTGGATCAATGTTTTTTTTTTTTCAAATTTATTGAGTTGTGAATAAACTATTTAAGCATATTAAACAAATCTTTTTAACACATACAAGGTTTAAGCTTCTAGCAAACTCGTAACTACATTGTTGGCTTTCACCCTTTCAGCTACATGAGCAATTGCCAAAGCTCACAAACATGGAATCGTAGGAAAATAACAATCTTAAGTTCATTTCATCACAATGTCATAAAAAACTGGTAAAAAATAAACTTTTGTGTGTGTGTGTGGTGGGGGGTGGGGAGGGGAGGGGTATGGGGGAGCTTAGAGCAAAGTATGAAGTTGCCTTCAAACCAAAAATCTCTGATCTTTGTGATTTACGATTATCTATTTTGCAGCTCAAGCAAAGCTACGATCCAAGTATGAGGTTGCCTTCAAACCAAATATCTCCGATCTTTGGGATTTACGACTCAATGTTCATTATCTATTTTGAAGCTCAAGCAAAGCTACGGTGAGGTTGCCTTCAAACCAAATATCTCCGATCTTTTTGATTTACAACTTTGCGTTAGATATCTATTTTGAAGCTCGGGCAAAGCTAAGAGCCAAGTATGAGATTACCTTCAAACCAAAAATCTCCAATACTTTTGATGTACAACTCAATATTTGATATCTATTTTAAAGCTCAATTAATTCGTATTTGAATCGACAAATTTTACTTAAAAGGGTAGAGCATTAGCAATTTCATTTCACTTGAATTTGAACCTCTAATTAAAAATGATAAAATATTGTCCACCCAACCTAATAACATTAAAAATCTACATATAACACAAATACAACATCAAAAAGTGAAAGAGTCTGCACACCACAGCCAAGTACTCCCACAATCCAAAGGAATAGTATTACCAGTGTTTTAGGATAATAATTACCCTTTGACAACAATTTAATACACTAATTATGAAATGTATAGTATAACAACATGAATAAACATTAGGAGTAATATTTTTGGTCATGCTGCTCTCTAATTATGTAAATTTAAAATTGAAACATTTGGTAAACATTAAACATACATAACAATCATTATCATGTATCAACAAAAATTAAGAAATAAATCAATCAAATGATTAGACATACAAACATTCTACTATAACAAAAAACAAATTACATAAACAAAATCCCAAGCAGATCCTGATTATACATTTGCATAAAAGAAAAACAAAAAAAGAACAATATCTTTGGATTAACATAATTTTTGATCGTCTAATTTTGATTATTCTCTTTATCGACTAATCAATTTCAATTACCTATATAAGAAATCAATTTCCTTGGACCTCAATACGGCGTCGTTGTAGCCTCAAACCCTAGCGGAAACAGCAGCGGGGCCAGAAGTAGGGGCGGCGCCGGCCAAGAAAGAGAGAAACCCAGTTGCCGGAGACTCCTGATCGTCAAGGAAAAGATCCTCAGGAACCCTAAAAGCAGCATGTGTACACACAATTGCGAGACCAATCATCAAAGCAGAAACAAGAACAGATCCAACGCTGGTGAGAAAAATAACAACGACGGTGGAAACGATGAGAACCCCAAGCGTTTCCCGTTCAGAAAACTGCCGACCAAATAGAACCAAAGGCGGATCTGATGGACGGAAAAGGTAAAGAAAAAGCCAAGCAGCGAGGAGACCGGTAAGAAGAATGAGGGAAAATGGGTTTGTAATGAGACTGAAAGCGAGGACAACGGCGAGGAGAGAAAGGTAATTGGTACGGAAATAGGAGTAGTTTTTACGGATACGGAGGGTAGCGTCGGAAACAGATTCGGGTTTAGCGAAGGCTGAACGATCAACGAGTTCAGCCCATTGACGGCGATTGGAGAGACCACCTTGGACGGTTTCGGAGATGCGGTTGATGAATGAACGTAGAGCAGGGGTAGGACCCACACCGATAATGGTTTGTTGGGTATCGGTGGTGGTGGCGGCGACGGTAGTGGTGGTGGTTTGGGGGTTGGAAATTGGTAGAACTGGTGTTGGTGAAGCGGTTGCCATTGTTAAGAATTTCTTTGGTGAAATGCAGAGAAGTTTGGTGATTGATTTATGGCTAAAAAAATGGGGATTTTGCTTGATTTATACGGTTAATGGAGGGGGTTGACTGATGGAGAAAGGGATCCAATTTTTCGTCGGTGGATCTAAGCTTGTTCAATGAATTTATTATTGACTAATCACCAGTAATCTCGATTATATATTTATATAAATACTCCCTACGTCACATAATCTTTCAGTTTTAAAAAAAATGATCTAATTTAACTAATGATTTCAGTCTCAATTATATATATGGGGTGTTCACGGATCGATTTGAAACGGTTATTGATCAAAATTAAAATCAAACCAATTTAATCAGTTTTAAGATTATCAAAATCAAACCAAACCAAATATAGTATATATTTTTTTGTTTGGTTATTCGGTTATTAACCATATACAAAAATAAAATAAATAATTTATTCAAAACGTGAAAAAAGTTACAACAATCCATTCAAAACGAAAATTAGTTAGAATGACTGACATTACATAACTTTCAATCATTAAGTTAATATGAATAAAGCTTCGAAATTCATTATATTGGCCTAGAAGGAAGAGACATTGACATTTTCAATCTCATAAAGAATTGTCATAGACCCTCATGACTCATATACATGAAACCAATAAAATAAATGGTATCACATTGGACAATTTTGCTTTCATAAGTAAATTATAAATAAATTTTGATGAAAACGTATATATATGATCCTTAAAATTGTTTATAAAATTAATATATTATGTATGTATAATAAAAAAATATATGTATATAATTTATCAGTTCAATTCAGTTATTGCATTGATTTTTTCTGAACAAAATCATAACCAACCCAAATATTGTCGGGTTTTAAAAATCTAAAACCAAACCAAATTCAATCAATTTATTTAATCAGTTTGGTTCGATTTTCCAGTTTGAATCGATTTTTATACAAACTGTGAACACCTCTCTATATATATACACACTCTTGGTCACCTATTTGATATTCGAATACTCCCTGTATTTCACACTGTTTAACAAAAAAAGAAGATTTTTCATTATTATGGTTCTAAATTAAAATATATTTTCTTTGTTTCTATTTGGTTGTCATCATTTAAACTTAAGTTTTTAATAAGGCGGAATGACCTGGGAGGCCCATGTACTTGGCTTCGTTTGTCAGTTGAACCCTTCTACTCATCATTTTGCCAAATGAACACTTAAACTCAATGAAACTCTATTTTTTAAACCTCTCTGACCATTGACCAAGTATATGTGACACTAACTTAGTTGGACAAATACGTAACCCCACGCGTTTTGAAGCAAGTGAATACAATATTTTTAATTTAAAATTATCAAAATTATAAGACAAAACAATAATAATAATTTTTTTTTTTTAAAAATACTAAAAAACTCCTTCTTCTTCACTACACCCCACCCCTTCTATCTTCTTCTTCTGCCCCACCCCACCATTTTTCTCTTCTTCTTCTTCAACCTCTGCCCCCACCCCTACTCATTTTCTCCTCTTCTTCTTCTTCAACCTCAACCCACATCCACACCAGCCCCTACTCCTTTTCTCTTCTTCTTATTTGACGTACACATTATCACATTAAAATCATCAAATAAAAAATTGAAAAAAGTTCTTTTTGCAAGAAAATATACCATTCATCAAATAAAAATTTACATAAAAATATATTTTTTTTCAATTTGAAGTTTTCTTGATATCTCTTTTTATCAAATCAAAATAAATAGAACCATAAAACATGTGCAAGAACTAATTATAATCTATCACATTTTGTGATTGAATAAATTTTTGAGTGTGAACTATGAAGAAAAATGAAAATGGTGATTTTTATTTTTGGGATGAAAATGGTAGAAGGTGGGAACAAAAGAAGATGAAGCGGAAGGGAGTGAAATGGTACAGAGAGAGAGAAAATTGCATTTTCTAAAAATATTATTTATTTTTAAATATTTAATTTCTGATGTGTCATTAAAATAATAATAATAATAATAATAATAATAATAATAATAATAATAATAATAATAATGTGTCATTAAAAAATGACGTGGTATTTCATGTGTAAAATGAGTGTACTACATGCACATCCATCAGATGAGAAATGGGTCTAAAATATTGTGTTTGAATGAGTTTAAGGGTTTAGTTGGCAAAGTCGTAAGTACAGGGATCCAACTTACAAATCGAGTCAAGTACAAGGGCCTCTCAAGCCATTTCGCCTTTTAATAAATGAACATGAATTAATTACTTAATTTTTCTATATTGGTCAAATACATACTTTCAAAGCTAATAACTCTCGAGGTAAAATATGAAGAATAATGTCATTTATGCATTATTTTTGTGAAATGACAAGTACTAATAAACATCTATTTTTATTAAGGACGACACATAAATAAGAATGGAAGGAGTATCAAATTGTTCTTTAATTTTGTGACCTTGAACATGTCACATGGAAAACCAAAATTAAAATATTACCTAAAAAAAAAAGAGTCATTTTCATTTGAAGCAGACTAAAAAGGAAAAGAGTTCAATTTTTTAGGTAGGCATAAATACCGGAAAACCGATAAAAAAACCAAATCGAACTAATTCGGTTCTTCGAATTTTCGGTTCGGTGTCAGTGTTATTTTTTCAAAAGTTCAGTTCTTCGGTTCAATGTTCGGTGTAAGGGCCTCAAAACTTCGGTGCACCGAAGAACTGAACTTTTATTAAGAAAAATTAAAATTAAAATTAATAATAATAATATAATATATATATATATATATATATATATATATATGGTCATTCTCCTAACTAAAATAAAAAGTCAACTAACAACTAAATCATTCATGAACAAATCAAAGTAGGAACAAATATACAATTCAATAGTGAACTTCAAGTATTAATTCCCAAGAGGAACCAAAACATATTTTTATCAATGTACGCCTACGGATCTGGCGCTTCAGAGCACCCAAATTTTTTTTCTAAAAAAATTTATGAGGAACTCCGTGATGAGTTGGGGAACCACCACGTATACTCACACAATTTTTAATGCCTATTTTCGTATTTGAAGGCCCTTTTTAGGAATTACCCAAATTTTTTAATTTTTCGTGTGTATTAGCCATGGATCTGGCGCCTCTGAGCACCCAAATTTTTTTCCTGCAAAAATTATATGAGGATCTCCGTAATGAGTTGGGGAATCACCACGTAAACCCACACCATTTTTAATGCTTATATTTGCATTTACAGGCCCTTTTTAGGAAAACAGTATAATTCCTTGATTTTTTGAGTGTATTAGTCCACAGATCTGGCACCTCAAAGCACCCAAATTTTTTTTTTAAAAAAGCTTTATGAGGACCTCTGTAATGAGTTGGGGAACCACAACGTATACTCATACCATTGTTTTAATGTTTATTTGTGCATTTAGAGACCCTTATTTAGGAATTACCCAAATTCCTAAATTTTTCGTGTGTATTAGGCCATGGATCTGGCGCCTCAGAGCACTGTAAAAAATTTTCTGAAAAAACTTTATGAGGACATCTGCAATGAGTAGGGGAACAACCATGTATACTCACACCATTTTCAACTCTATTTCTTCATTTCCATGCCCTTTTTAGGAATTATTCAAATTTCTCAATTTTTCGTGTGTATTAATTACCCATGGATCTGGCGCCTCAAAGAACTTAAATTTTTTTTCTAATTTTTTTATGAGGACCTCTGTAATGAGTTGGGAAACCACAATGTATACTCACACCATTTTAACGCATATTTTCACATTTATAAGCTTTTTTTAGGAATTACCCAAATTTCTCGAATTTTCATGTGTATTACCCATGGATCTGCCACCTCAGAACACCTAATTTTTTTTATGATTAAACTTTATGAAGACCTCTGTAATGAGTTGGGGAACCACCACATATACTCACGCTATTTTTAACGCCTATTCCCGCATTTACATGCCTTATTTAGGAATTACCCAAGTTCCTTGATTTTTCGTGTGTATTAGCCCATGATTATGGCGCCTTGGAGCACTCAAATGTTTTTTCTGAAAAAACTTTATGAGGACCTCCGTAATGAGTTGGGAAATCACCACGTATACTCACGTCATTTTAACGCATATTTCCGCATTTAAGGCTTTTTTTAGGAATTACCCAAATTTCTCAATTTTTCATGTGTATTAGCCCATGGATCTGGCGCCTCGGAGCACCGAATTTTTTCTGAAAAAACTTTATGAGGACCTCTATAATGAGTTGGGGAACCACCATGTATACTAACACCATTTTTTTACGCCTATTTCTGTATTTACAAGCCATTTTTTAAGAATCGCCCAAATTCCTTGATTTTCGTTTGTATTAGCCTATGGATTTGGCGCCTCAGAGCACTAATTTTTTTTTCTAACAAAATCTTTCTGAGGACCTTCGTAATAAGTTTGAGAACCATCACATATACTCACACCATTTTAACGCTTATTTCCGCATTTACAGGCCCTTATTTAGGAATTTCCCAAATTTCTCAATTTTTTGTGTGTATTAGCCCATGGATAAGGCACCTCAAAACACCCTTTTTTTTCCTGAAAAAACATTATGAGGACCTCCGCAATGAGTTGGGAACCACAACGTATACTCACACCATTTTAAACGCCTATTTCCGTATTTACAGGCCCATTTTTAGGAATTATTCAAATTCCTCGATTTTTCATGTGTATTAGTCCATGGATCTGGCGCCTCGGAGTACCAAATTTTTTTCTAAAAAAACTTTATAAGGACCTCCATAGTGAGTTGGGGAACCACCATGTAGACTAACACTATTTTTAACGCCTATTTTTGCATTTACATTCCCTTTTTTAAAATTACCCAAATTCTTCGATTTTACGTGTGTATTGCCCATGGATTCTAACGCCTGGGACCACCCAAAAGTGTTTTTATAAAAAAACTAATGAAGATCTCCATAATGAGTTGGAGAACCATCACGTGTACACACAATTTTTAGCGCATATTTCCGCATTTACAGACCCTCTTTTAGGAACTATCCAAATACATCAATTTTTCACGTGTATTAACCCATGTATTTGGCAGCTCGGTTCACCCAAATTTTTTATCTGAAAAACTCTTTATGAAGATGTCCATAATGAATTGGGGAACTACCACTTATACTTACACCATATTTAATGTCTTTCCGCATTTATATGCCCCTTTTTATGAATTACTCAAATTCCTCAATTTTTCATTTGTATTTGCCTATGGATTTGGCGCCTCGGAGTACCGTAATTTGTTTTCCTAAAAAAACATTAT